AGATTATATCAATCCACATCTGTATCTGTTTATGTGAAGATAGTATCAGCTTGTTTTCTAAGGGGAAATACGAGAATGGCAATGACAGGAATAGAAGTATTTCCCCACTTAGAAATATAAGAGGAGAAAGGGATATGCCGTATATGAAGAATATGCCATATAAAAAAGAGTAATTAAAACATATAAGCTCAATTCTTGCTTATGGGTGGAATCTGCAGTATTCACACAGTATTGCCAAAACTTCATGACAAATCACAGAGGTATCAACAGTATCCAAATTATTTCTTCTCATATAATATATAATTTTAATATATATAATGTCATTAATATGTCTGGAGTTTTCCAAACACATTTCCCTACAGTTATTTCCCCTGTATTTTTATACTTTAAATCACTTGCCACACAAGGCTGGTAATTTCCCTTAATTAATTATTATTTTCCTTTTCCCACCCAAATCTAATTGACTGCTATGCTTAGAAGACTGGTTGCATTTTCTAATTTTATTTTGTCAACTGTGGTAAGATGCACCACACTTTGGCTCCTTCCAACCAAAAGATACTACATGGATTTTCTTTTTAGATTCATAACAGTGATAAATTTTACATCCATGCAATATCAGCTAGTTGAATTGTTCTGAGTATTAACTATTCTGAGCATTAATTGGCTGTCATAAAGGCTATCATACTTGGACCATGTCATGAGAGCTGATTCAAAAAGTCAATCATGCTGGGAGGGATCAGCAGAAAATGGAGAAGAGGCTGCTCTAGTATCAATTGGCTAGGCACGGATGATATTGGAATGACTATGGCGGATCTGAAAGACGCGGTGCAAATCAGAGGGCCATGAAGAGTGTTGATACATAGAGCAGCTGAGGTTGACACAACTGAATGTCTGACAGTGACGTATTAAATTGACTTTTACAGATTTGCCCCATGTAAATGTTTCACTAAGACCTATCTAGGAAGCATTTTGTAGATATGACATTCATATTCCTGACTTGAATTCTTCGCTAGGGAACTCTATTAAAAAGACCAATGTAAAAATCCAAATAGTCACTTGAATGCAAATATTATTAAGTTCAGCTTTTAAATGGGTTGCGTAAATGAGATGCATAGGTCTGGTGGTTGAGTTTTTAACCAGAACAGGATAAAGGACTTTAGCTTCTTTATTATTTATTTGCAAATTGTTGCAACACTCCAATCCAGGATTCCACACATAAATCATTCAATATGAAATGCCACAATGATTAAGACATTATGTAGAAATTACCATTAAAATTTCTAAAAGAATCTAACACTGGAGGTAATAATGAGAGTACACCCAAGCGCAGATAGCTATATGTTATATAGAACATTATTACATCACATATAGTAACGGGGTGGGGGCATCTTAATTTGGGAGAGACAAGATGTTACATAACTTAGGGATAGTAACTGCTTTCAAACTCTACCCTCTTCCCCCTCATTGGTGAGAATTTCAGCATACCTGTTCAGCCTACATGCACACAGTTAGAAAGGACTCATGCTTTATAAGTCTTAACCAGCATTTTTAATTTTACATAGAAAGTTATTGGTTGCCCACAATGTAAGTGTTGCTCACCGTATAAAACAAGCTGTCATCCTTCAGCAATTGGACCACAACCTTTGGAATCAACTTCAGTTTCCAATTAGGCTTTAGTAAAGGTAAAGGTTCCCCTGGCACATATGTGCTAGTCGTTCCTGACTCTAGGAGGTAGTGCTCATCTCTGTTTCAAAGCCAAAGAGCAGCGCTGTCCAAAGACATCTCCGTGGTCATGTGGCCAGCATGACTAAATGCCGAAGGCGCACAGAATATTGTTACATTCCCACCAAAGGTGGTTCCTATTTTTCTACTTGCATTTCTACATGCTTTCGAACTGCTAGGTTGGCAGAAGCTGGGACAAGTAACGAGAGCTCACTCCATTACGTGGCGCTAGGGATTTGAACTGCTGAACGGCCGACCTTTCTGATCAACAAGTTCAGCGTCTTAGTCAATGAACCACCGTGTTCCTTAATTAGGCTTTAAGGACAACCTAAATAGAATATATTGCAGCGTTCAAATATGACTCAGTGAAGGGCATCATTAACTATGCAAGGGTATGTTGCTTTAAAGGAAGCTGTATCTGGCATACCATCTGGCTGTCCTGGCTCATGACCTCCGCACAAGGTTACTAGTTCTTATATACTTTTTAAAAACATGGATGTTTTTCTCAGCATGACATATGTTGCAACTGGAACTCTTGTCTGGAAATGCCAGTTGCAATACATCTAAGCATCAGAAAGCAGATGGTGAGTACAGGTTCTCTTTTCCTGTGCTTTGGTTTCTATCCCATAGTTTGGAGAAGGTAATTCCTTTGTCTTCTCTGGTGCAGTAGGTCTTATTTTACTTTCATTTGTTTTTTGTAGTTGCTGCATATGGTACTATTTGAGATAACAGCTAAATTAGGAAGGCAACATTGCGTACTGTGTATTGAGTACATATTGTGGATAGGCTTAAACAAGCAGAAGTCAGAGTAAGATAATGACTAGAGATAGAATGATGGTATAGCATTGTGATGGTAAACCTATGGTATGTGTGCTGCAAATGGCACGCAGAGCCATCCCTCCGGGCACGCAGCCGTTGCCTGTTGCTCTTCCGGATTCCTGCTCTGTGTGTGCAGGAGCACCGAAAACCAGAAAAGCAGCTCCCTGGTATGCAGGAACATGCTGGGAAGCTGAACTTCTGGTTTCCGGTCTGCGTATGCAGCTAGTCTTCACACACACATGCGTGCCAGAAACTGGAAGACCAGGTGGCCTGCGCGTATGTGTGCACAGAAACCAGAAGCTCAGCTTCTCGATGTACACATGCGCAGGCTGGGAAGCTGCTCTTCCAGTTTCTGGTGCGGCCCCCCCGTGTGCCCACTCCCATTTCAGCACTCAGTCCTGAAAAGGTTCTCCAACACTTGTATACCATATTGTGGAAAAGTTCACATATTCTTGAGAAATCACACTCACATCTAGAATTTTACATGATAAATGTATTACTTAAATGTGTTCTGTCTTGGGTAGAAGGTGTTCCTCCACTAACAATTGTACTAGAAAAAAACATTAACAATTTTGATAGTACTATGGTTTCCATTGTTTTCCAGTGTGGGCCTTTTCATTTTATTTTATTAAATATAATACTGTAAATGTCATGAGTGTGAAAGGGAAAAGTTCTTTTAAGAGCCAAGGTGGCGCAGTGGCGCAGGCTACTGCTAGATCAGCAGATCAGCGGTTCAAATCTCACCGGCTCAGGGTTGACTCAGCCTTCCATCCTTCCGAGGTGGGTAAAATGAGGA